TCAAGAGGAGCGGCGCCGAGCAGGGCGGTCATCGCCCGCTCGGTCGCACGAAAGGCAGCATCCGGGGCTACTTTAGCCTTAGCTGCCCTCGCCTTTGCCTGTCGATGGCGATACGCCGGGTCGAACGCCGGAAAAATCGATTCGACCGGCGGGCGGGGCTTTGGGAACAGGCGCGGGACGATCTTGAGTCTGCGGAACAATGATCTGGGTTTTTTTCGGGGAGCTCAGCAGTCGGCGAAAGCTGATCCAGCCGTTGAGGAGCCTGACCCGGCGCCGCATAGTAAACCGGACCGGCAGGGGAGGGGCGGTGATCTGGCCCGTATCCCAAGCGACCCTGACGAGGCGGACCCGCTTTAGGAGCCACGTAGCATACCGGTCCGTCGAACGCGCGGGGTGGATCGGCCCCAGCAGCTGGCGCACGAGCGGGCACCGGTTGGTGACGATCACGGTCACGATGAGCAGGCGCGGCGTGACCCAAGGGATCCGACGGCAGAAAAGGCACATATCGTGCCGCCGATCGCAGGCAGTGCACAGCGGCGTGAGCTGGTTAGCAGCCCAGCGCTCCCCAGACGATCGACCGCATAGCACTCCTGACCATCACCTTCACCGTCACAAAAACAGCCTGTGTAGAGCCCGCAATCAACACAGGGCCGACAGACCTCTGTTTCGGTCCCATAAGCGAGCGCTTGCAAGCCGACCAGATCTTGAGCTCAGCGAAAGCGATCTCCCATATCCCGAAAAGAACAAAGGGCGGAGTGGGTGGGTTCTTTTCTGCGCACGGCCGATCGGCTTATGCCAAAATGGCCACGGATAAAAGGGTCACGGCTGTTCTTACGGTCGCTAAACTGATCTCCTAATTCCTCACCTACCAAGCCGATAATTAGGAGACCAGTTTCTGCGATCTCCACCACTCACCAAGTTCGCTGAACAGCCACCGATCGCACAACTTCTTTTCTGCGACCGCAACGTGGGATTTGGTCGCACCGTCGATCGGATCAAAACTTCACTCGATCTTCACCAGTCCGAACGGAAGCCGGTTTGAAGCCCAACTGCAAGAGCTGCTCAAACTCGTCAGCCGGGATCCGATCGACGCCCTGTACCGAATAGACAGCGAGAACAACACGAGTGCCCTGCCACGGCAGAGTCATGCGCAGAGCTTCTTTTGCATTGAAGACGATCGTGTCTTGCACAAAGTCGGTGTTGGTGCCCTGTATAGAACGACCATCAATCTCGCGTCGATCGAGCCCGAGAGGATCTTCGATCCACAACCCACCCCCTTGGAAATCACTGAGCTTGATAACCGTGTTGGGGACAGGCTCGTTTCCCGAGTCGCGATTGGGCTTAGCCTCCTGATCGCAGAGAACCGCGAACGACGTGAACACGTTCTCCAGGACGACCTAAGCCGCGTGATCCCGCCATGCCGACAGGCGCCAGCAAAGAAGGCGCTGCCTCGTTCCTTCGCGGCCTTGTGCTGTCCTTGATCAGGCAAGTTAAAGGCGAGCTGGAGAACCTCTTCTCGAGTGAGCGCATCTTGCTTCTTCAAGAGTTCTTGGGCGATCGCCTCCACGTCCACGCCACTCATCGCACCCGAAAGGGCGAGATAAGGCTGGCAGTCAGTCTCTGACGGATCCATTCAGCGGTTGCCGATCATGGAGTGCGTCTCTCCGCAGACCATGCACAAGTGCTTGAACCTACACTTATCCCCTGAAACGCAGCCGAGCGACGAATTGAAGTAGTGGCATCGGCGAGCGCCCTGCACTTTCTTGGCCGCTTCAGCGATCAACTTCCACTCCTTCTCTGGGCTGCGATCGTCCCGCTTCGGCTTCTTATCAGGGTCTTCCTTGGCGACCTTCTTAGGCGTCTCCTCCTTCCCTGTTGTCTGGTTCCGCTTCTTCTTCTTCCCCGCGCGAGTGCGCTTGTAGGGAGGAGGATCTTCCTGCACCTGATCAGGGTTAGTAGCGAGCTGCTGACGGTTGTAGTCGACCTTCGACAACGTAGCGCTGGTCCTCGCATCGTTCCACAAGTACTTGTGGTTATTGAGCACCTCGATCAGAGCCTGCGAGAACGCCGTGTACGTTGCCCTCTGCTCCGAGAGCAGGCGGTAGATCTTCTTCCGGATCGCCCGATCTGCCGCCATCAGGAAGGGAAGGCCTGGGCACTCCGAACGGAACTGCTCCAGCTCCTGCAAGTACTTGAGAGGACCTTCCGCACGTGAGAACGGACAGATGTTCAGGTACTCGAGCGCCATGAAGAACGCGTGGAGCCTGTTGAACAGCGTGGTAACATCCGTCACCGGCTCGGGCTGATCTGCCCTCGATATGGACAGAAGATCCTCGGCATTCCTCGAGAGTCCCGACTTTACCACGATCACGTCAGCTCGAGTCCTGATCTCGGCCGGCTCGTAGAACGGCACGATCCCGTGGATCAGGAAATCGCGCGAGAGACGTTCCACGAACTTCGTGCGCGGCTCCCTGGCGTCGATCAGAATGACGTCGGGGTGGACCCTCACGAAACGATCGCGGAACTCAGCATGGTCCTCCTGCGAAAGCTCCATTCTGGCGCGCCGAGAGGCGTACTGCGTCTGCAGGGCCTGAGCTGCCTGCCACACCGCCGCTAGCGACATGACCGATAGCTCTTGACTGGCAGCGTCCGCCCCGAGCGGGGTCACGTCGGCCTCCCAGAGCTTCCTGAGAGTCTCCTTCGCGGACGACAGATCTTGTCCCAACATCGCGAACATCTCCACCGTGAGCAGTCCCTTGTCCGCCGAGAGTCGGCATAGCCCGGTATCGAGCCCTTGCCGACCGAAGATCTGGCGGAGGTTAAGCTTCGGCGTCGCCGCCTCGCTCGCGTAGGCAGTGCGATCCACCATGGCTCGAGCTAAGCTTAAGAACGCTGCATGGGCTTGAGCTGCACTATCGAACGCGACTCACACGCTCGCCAATCACTTCCGATCAAGCAACCTGTTCACGGATCCGTGAAGATCTTGCCTGAACAGAGCGAGCACATCTGTGAGCTCGGAGGCATCTCACCGAAGTCTTCGCACTCTGTGATCTTATAGCGTCCGCAGAGCGTTCGCTCCGCTCCCGTACCGTCTATGTACATAGCATGGTACTTCAGGTTCAGGTCCTTAGCCGGTCCGATCGTTGACCTCGCCTTGATGACATAGGTCAAAGCACAGTCCCCGAAGTCGACCAGGTTGGAATCTTCCGCCTCGAACTCGGGCGGTGTCCTCCAATCCGACACGATCCTCTTCGTCAGTCTCTTAACCATCTCGATCGAGATCTCCTTTCTGGACCGAGCGTACTTCAGGACCAACTGACTGGGATCCTTCCAGTTTGCCTGGAGCCCGATCTCTTTGTCCGGCTCCTGGGCTTGAACCGCCGCTGCGAGCAGCGTCACACGGCACGAATGCCAGGTGATCTCGTTGATGAGCTGCAGGTGCTCCTTCAGATCTGGCGGGGCGATATGTCCCCTCTTCAGATCGTCTGAAGCTGCTGTCGTGAGCACGTACCTGAGCCACAGCACGCTCCTCTGGTAGGTGGCGGGACGATCGCCGAACCGCTCCGCAGACTCGAGCTCCTTCATGAAGTAGTCCCGATCGTCCATCTCGAACGCGGCAGCATTCCATCCGTCCTCCATCCACTCTTCGCCCGAGACCGAGACCTTGGCCGCCGCGAACCGCGTCCCTTTCCTCGTCCTTCATGGCGAGCGCCTCGGGAACGACGTGCATCGCGTCGTCAAAGCGCAATGACGAGTAGATCATGGTCAAGATCCACCGAAGAACGCCATCACGAACTGGTTCGATCGGAACCTAGCACACACGAGTCTCTCGAGCGCAGCTACCAGGACCAGAGGGATGGGGACTGCCTCGCGAGTCTCCTTCCCTCGATCGCTGTAAACTCTCTTCTGCAGAGCCATAATGCGAGCGTCAAGGAGATCAGGTCCTTGCACCCCTATCCTCTTGCAGATCCACTTCACGGCCCCTCGGACTGAGGGGATCACTGTGGGCCCGCATCCACGATCGGAAAGGTTCAGCAAATACTTAACCAGCATGCACCTCCGTGGTCAGTGGGATCGCCTTGATGTTCTGAGACTTCGCCCATGTCTCAAGACGCTCCCAGTGACGAACGCACTGCTGGATCGCCCTGAAACCACCACTCTCGAACACGATCGAGCGCAATGCATTCATCTCGTCCTGTGAGAGCAAGGAGCCAGGTTTCGGACCTCCAGCGATAGCGGCATGCTCGCCACACCGCTCGACGATCGCCCGGAGCCTCATGCCTCACTTTCGTGCCTCGCCGAGCTCGCGAGCCTTCAAGGACACCTGGGCGTCTTCTGCTCGTGGCTCGATCGTCCTGGGCCGCTTCGCGAGCGGCAGAGGCACAGGCGGTTCATCTGATCCCTTCTTTGATCTAAGGGGAGAGCGAACCGTTGCCACTGTCGTTTCAGCCAGACCGAAACCCAGATCAGTGGCCAGATCAGCCCATCCGGTTTTAGCCGTGCTGCGAACGAGAGCGAAGAGGATCTCGATAGTCGGAACCCACCTGCCGAGCTCTTCCTCCGTCTTCCTCGTCGACGGCGAGTGGAGAGCCTCGAGGGCAGGCACCAAACTCACGAACGCTTGGACACACTCAGCGATCGTCCCGTCTGAAACAGCACAGAGCTTCTCGAACTGAGCCATCCGAAGATCGACCAACCATTGGCAGAGTCATCCCCGAACAAAGGCAAAGAAAGGATCTTCCTAACTGACCTGTCCATCTCGGGCTGAACAGCTGCGAGTGCGATCGCACAGGCCTGCTAATGGCACCCGAGCGCCGTGCCTGGGCCAGGACATGCTGATCAACACTCACTGAGACTATGCGGAACAGCGCACGGATCTAGCGCACCGAGGGATCGCTCGGCATGTTTGTTCCGCGGAAGAAGCACGGCTGATCAGCCGGCTTTATGTTACGGCCGGAGCCGGCGCCAAGCTCTTTCGCGAGCAGGCGCAAAATATCCGGAGAGGAGGCGTCGAGCGCTTTCACTCCTCGCCCTCCCGCCCCGAGCTGGCCATCTGGTACGGCCCGGTGATGCCGCGAGCAGGCAAGTAGTAGGCAGGAGAGACCGTCGTGGGAGTCGAACTGCTCGCCGGGAGCTCTGGCCCCGTCTCCTCCACCCGAACGGTAGAGTAGCCGGTAGAGTACATCTGGAAATCCGCATCTTCACGATCGAGAAGAAGGACATCCGTGAAGACCTGCGGGGTGATCGCCGCCGACGTGCGCGAGAAGCGCATGTCTGCCCTCAAGCGATCCCTTGCCTCCTCGATGTGCTCTCCGACCCGATCGGTCGGCGGCTCCTCGCCCTCAACCACCGGGGTGATCACCGACACTCGCTGATCATAGGTCTGCTGAGCAGACGTCGGCATATTCGTCAGAGCCGAGGTAGTCGAAGATGCCAGCTGCCGAACGGCATGTCGGGCCGCCTCTTCCATGAGAGCTGGCGGACCACGCCGAGCGGTGAGCTCAGTCCCCTCGTCGTGCGAGCGGTGGGCCAGAGCTTCTTGCCGAACGAACATCAGGGGGTTCACCCGGAGCTTCGAGCGAGCACGGATATGGAAATTACCCTCATCGACCGGGAACTGGTCCGTGAAGGTACCGACCGTGCTGCCCTCATTCGCGAGGGCATCGTTGTACCACGGGGCGATCACCGCCGAGAGCTGGGCGAACTGCTGCACGTGGTCCGGCCCTTCAACGCGAGCGCGCTGATTACGGCACTGCTGGATCGTGTTGGTCAACGAGGGGCCAGAGATTGACTGACTGTGAGCCACGTCCCCGGAACCGAAGTTCGCCCACACTTCAGATCGATCCGGTTGTTGGCATCCCTGAACCGGAACTCCACGCGATCTGCATCATTGCCGTAACCTTCGGGCGAGGCACGATCGGTTCGCATGTGCTCATCGCATGATCACTTGCCATCACCACTCCTTGGGGGCCGATGAAGTAGACTCGGGCCCCGACCTCGAACGAGGTCACCGAGACTTTCCAGCCGACGAACACAGAGATGACGATGGACGGCCGGAACCAACCGTCGTTAGCCGGCCTGATCAAAACCTCGTCGCAGAACTGCTGTTGCACTGACAGATCAGCGTCCGAGCGATAGCCCCGGAACACCCAGTGGAACAGGACCTCATTCCCATTGAAGACCTTAACATCCACATAGGTGGCCGAAGTGTCGAACATATGACCGGCCACGTGAACGGCTGAAAATTAAGCCGGGTGCGACAGAGCTTGGCTT